ATTCACCTTCCCAAATTTTAAACACTGAGCGCATGCTGCTTTGTCAAATTTTAAATACTGACGCTTGTTGAGATGCCCGCTGATTAATCGAAAGCCTTTAAAAAAAAAAACCCAGTCACTGCCACAAACGTATCATTGGTCACGGCGACTTCTTTAAGATTCAGAACGACACACAAGACACGTAGGCCCCGACCGTAATCTCCACGGTGCCTTTAACCTTTCAGATAGAGGCTCCCCCTCCGCTAAAATAAATAAATAAAGCGGCGACGGCAGCAAACGGCATCGCAGCCCGAAGGAGCCGCCCGGGATGCGGGACGTCCAAGCCCCGCGCGGACAGATCCCAGACCCCGGCCCCTCGGCACGGGCGGGAGCCGCGCGGACGCTTCCCGGCGAGCTCGCCCAAACCGAAAACGAAAACAAAAATCCCCCAATGCTCCAAAAGCCGTCCCAAGGGTTGTGCAGGCCCTGCAGGAATTACACTTTCACTCCCGGGGCTCGAGTGGGTGAAACCTCTTCCTTAACAGGAGACGAGGCAATGCCGACGGCTCGGAGAAGGTCGGAGCAGCAGCCAGAGACTCATCTGTAAGTCACGTTACGGAAAGCACTAGAGGCGGGTTAGGTCCAGGGACCTTCATTGGGACGGAAATACACCCAGCCAAAGCAAAATGCAAACCTTGCACCCTGCTGGAATCTGCAGCTGCCCTCGCTAAATATTACTGCCATGGCACAAAAAAAATACTATATATATATATATATACATATAAACATGAATGTACACATTCACCATGCAAGCCCAAGCTGGTGCGGAGCGACGAGCAGAGAGACGGAGGTAACACGGTGTTGCCTCGCGCCGCCGTCTATCCTTCTCACACACAGCTCTTACCAGCAAATCATTCCACAAATGCTCAGAAACGTTGTGGATTAGCTCAAAACAATCCCGGGCTTCGCTGTGTTTAATTTGCCTGGATTATAAAAGATAACTTCTAACAGGACGTTCATGTGACCAAAAAAAACCCCAACACCGAAACGCAAAGCATACGACGAAAGAGTCCCTAATTTGCAGAAGCTGTGCAGCATTTCCATGGAGTTTTAAGTTGCTTTTGAAAGCCGTATTTATTGGCAGGACCTACAGCTACTTGTTTTGATCAAGTGCAATGCAATCTGCTTTTTTTTTCTTTTCTTAAAGTCAAGCGGCAGCGTCGCGCACTCCAGGCGCCCGTCCCGTGGACTTCCCTGGTACCCACACGTGAGCACGGAGGGAAGCAGCAAACCCTAAAAACCCTGGGCCATGAAGACAACACGCTGGTAAAGCTGCTTTTCTCACAGCTGGCCTGAGCACCCGCGCGCTGCACCCTGACACACCGACCCTGAGCCCCGGAGCGCGAGGCCACCGCGAGCCACCGCGGCGGGACACGCTCGCCACCTCCAAGGTGCCTCTCCGAAATACGACCATGGGCTGCGACAATGAGGCAAAAACCAAAGACCTTCATCTGTGCTCTGCAACAAAGGTGGCGGTTTTGAAAAACTTTCCATGAAGCCGGGCGTGCTGCCGCCACCGAGGGAGCGCGGCAAGTGTCACGCGCAGACGGACCAACCTGGGTTCTTGCAGGACGGAAAAAAATCAGCAAAGATTCTCAAATTTGAAAGAAACCATAGTTTAAAGAAGATACATTTGGTTATTTAACGGTATATTTGGTTGTGTAAAGAAAGGCATATCAAATAAAGCCTTATTTTAGTAGTGTGATTACAGCCACCGTGCAACTGAGGAGAACAACTCCTGAACATATCAACACGTTCTGTCTTTACATTAAATGGGCTGCTGAAGTCAGGCATGGTAACAGCTCTGAAACGTTACGGCAGGAAAAAATAAAAGGAAGAAAGAAAGAAATAAAGAAAAAAGGGATTCCCTGGCTCAAGGTGGCATAAAGTCAAAAGAAGGAATTTTAATTTTGAGTTTTTAAGATGTTTTTTTGCTTGGCTCTCAGCAGAGCCCAACTTTGTTGTAAGTTTTTTATTATACAAATACAGAGCTCCGCTGTGCACTCCGTGCACCACAGCTCTTATTCTGCTGCCTGGTCCTCCAATACGAGAGCACATGTGTATATATATTTGTGCATAGGCAGCAATATTTTTAGCTTCCTCTCTTTTTTTTCTGGAAACCAGGCATAGTTTGAAAATACCTATGAAGAAGACCCCAAATAAAACAGTGTTTCTCAGTCTTTCTTTTCCCCTGTGGCACTGTGCTTGTATAGTTTGCAAGGCACAATTAATATAGTTGAAATATTTGGGAAAGTTACTCTAGTCATAATGTGTCAACGTCCTAGGCAACCCACCAACCTTCAGCTATGCTGAATACTGGCTTCTGGTTTATGATTACTTTCTCCTTTAGAAAGAACAGTGCATTTTGAGTCATTTTTTTTCTATTTGTAAAAATAAAATAAAATAAAATAAATAAATAAAGCTGCCATCTATCAGCATTTTGTCTGGAGAAACTCTCTAGCTGTATGCATTAAAAATCTGCTGCAGCATAAATACGACAGTTGCTTTATTATATACGTGTGTGTGTGTGTGTATATATATGACATACTATAATCCAAGAAGGACCATCTAAAATGCCACAGTTGAAAACATTTAAGAGTGTAACAAAAACGAGTGAGACCCTAGTATCAGTTTACTATCCTTCAACAATTTCCCTGACAGAGGAGTCAAATAATGTTGAATTATGGACCTTCTTACAGGAAGTCTTATTTCATGTTCATTTTTTGATCACTTCCCTCCTAGTCCCTATAGGAATTTGGCCGATTGCCGTTTTTCCTTTAAAAGTTTCGGCGACATAGCAGCCTGGCGTGCGATTAAATCAGAATTTTGTCAAGTATGACTGTGGCGTGCTTGTCCGAAAAGTTTATTTCACGTAAGGAAATACGGTTGCCTCAATAAAAGGCTGCCGTACGCTACCAGGGCACTTTATTTGATGTGTGCAGACTATTTTATACTGCGCTTTCTTTAAAAAGGCTTTTTAAAGGCTGCCTGGGTGCACATCGTGGCCGGGTAAGAGCCATCATCTTTTACAGTTCGGTCTGGAGCACCTGGGAGCGCAGGTGAAGTCGCCTCCGCGCACGGAGCCGCAGGCGCTCGCTCAGTGCAGCCGCCTGCCCAGACACCCACTCCTGAATCCTGGGCCTGCCACCGTCTTTGTCCTTTATTTTTTGTGCCCTTTCTAGGACAGTTTTCCCATCACCAGCGCAAAACAGCTGTGTTTTAGTTCTTTCCACCACATCAAACATTTTTTTTAAAAGTAAACGTCTGAAAAAAAAAGAGCTAATGATAAAAAAAATCATATTAAAAAAAAAATGAAGTCTTGTTTTGAAACTCTGCTGGCAGGGCCCATAATTCGAGCGCACGTTTACAGCGTCGGGCCCCTCCAGTTGGGCGACTCCAAGGGCAGGCCCAAGTGCCGCCCGCTGGTGGCGGTGCCACCCGCGCAGGGTCGCTTTGGGGCAGAACGATGCTGTTTCGGTGACCCCCGCTCGACGCCGAGCAAGGGCCGGGGAATGGGGCTTTGCCCCAGCATTAAGGGCACTTCTTGCCACGATGCGGGGACGCAAAGGCGCTGGCGTGACCCATGTGGAAAGGATAAACAAGGGGAAACCAATAAATCAAAACTAAAAAAAAATAAAAAAGTTAACTGTAACCTTTACTGCCGCAATTTAGGAAAAGGCAATTAAACCCATAATAAAAGCTTTTACATACTTACTCCTTTATTACTCTGCAAAATGCAAGCGCGCGCGGCCCGCGGGG